TACGTACAGGCGTTAATTTTTACGGTCCATGTTAGGTCGAGCCTGGGGACTTGAGTCATCTTATATACTAGTAATTTCTTGGGCAGATATGTTCCTAACGGCCAAAAACCCTTCCCAGGTTTTTTTTTCTTTTTTTTAATTTATAAATATACTAGTAATTTTACTGCCTCACATTTTATGATTGGGAGCTCTTTTACTAGGGTGTTTGATTTTTTATAGTCATTTTCAATATAGAAGGGAACAAACGACATTGAAGAGAGCTGTCTCTTGGTAGCTTTTTTTTCTCTACAAGGTTTCTTATTCTTGAATTGATATTAGGGTGTCTACAATATGTTTTAGTGCTGTGAAACGAGCCAGAACAATTAGATCTTGCATGTAGAAAGCTCAATTAAGATTTAACAAAATGTGAATTTTTCTTTCAGAAATTTCAAAGCTTAGCTCCCTTCATATGAAAAATAAGACCAACAAACTGGCCAGTGTCAATAGCAATCATGTCTGCAGATGATGGAGTTAGCGATGGTTGTAACTCCCGGTAGGCAAAACGAGCAGATGAGATCGCCTTCTGCTTCCCGTGCTTAGAACAAAATGACGTCGCAGTTTACAAGCATTGCTAACGCTGCAAGCATGTCCACCGTAGGCCCTGGCAAGTTCGTCTAATTTTTCACAGGAAGGAGGCGAAATTCCTTACAACTTCAACAGGTAACATGCCCATTCAGTGAATGCTTTAACTTTTAATGTGCAGGCACCAATTTTTCGGGCTCGATCCGCAGCACTAAGAACCATTGTAGATTCCTATATATATGGTAGTCATGTAAAATTTCGGCAAGTTCTTCAGTGCCAAGATGGCAGTATTTTCTTGTATACTTTCTTTTGATTGCAATTGTTTTCATTTTCAGTGTTGTGTAGTTCTAGAATAAATATATTTCCACAATGAAAGTGCTAATTTTTTTTTCTACAGATAGCTGGTGCAAGGTGTTTCGTAAAATGGTGATGTTAGCTGTAAAAAAGCCTGCCTGAAAGTTCTACGAGTGTTGTCCGCATATCCAGTCTTCGCAGCTTCTTTAACAACAAAGGCTTGCTTTTTCCAAATAAAGGTGTGCGACTTTTCATATGTACTGCAATATTTAGCTGTGAATGGGAGTGAAAGGTCTGCGGTATTGAATACCTCCCTGCTTTGAAAAGACACTTTGCGCGACTTTTCAGAAGATATACCTTTTCAAAAAAGTTGCACAATCTGCCTTTTCTGAAAAGGAAGCTTTCAATGCCGCAAACCATTCACTCCTGTTCACAGCTGAAGGGTCTCATTACTAGTAATTTCGGCTCTAAAAGTGTCAAAATTCGTTCACAAAAGGACGGAAATTACTCTCTCATTACTATAAAATTAACCCCTAAAAGGGTCAAAATTGATCCTCAAAGGGACGAAATTTACACCCTGAGTACTGCAAAATTCATCCCTAAAAGGGTCAAAATTGATCCTCAAAGGGCCGAAAGTTACTCCCCCGTCACTATAAATATCATCCCTTTAAGTGGCCTAGGTAATCCCCAAAGGAACGAAATTTGGTCCCCAATAAAAAAAAAAGTCCCCCAATCACCACTGTTGATCCCCAAAGGGATCAAGGTTACTCCCCCAATTATAAACACGACGGCGCTCAAGGGACCATAAATAATCCCCTGAAGAGTTAAACTTAGCCCCTGATGCCCTGCTGTAGGGATCAAAAGCACTCCTTTTAACAGTTCAAAATTTTGGCCTCAAGGGATCAATGGAAAGGGACTAAAAGAAAAGGGAGGGACTAAACCGGGGTTTTGCCGTTTCTGGGGGATCACTCTCAGTGACATCGATTTAGTCCCCTAAAAGGATGAAGTACTACTCCTTTTTTTTTTAAGAGTGCAGCTCGAGCCAGATCTGCGAGCGGAATATGCGCGTTTCAAATGGAGCACTTTTGGAGCGCTCGTGATCTGCAAGCGTAATTCACCATAAGTGAGCTACAGAAACATATTTTGATGGCACGAGGTGTTAGTGTTTCTATGGCGAAGTTGTTGCTCCTTAGATTGTTCAATAATGATGGGAGGTGGTGTCTCAACATCTGCGTTTCATAATTTGTTTTGCTGTATGGTACCCTCCAGACATCCTCATTACGAGTAGGATCAACAATGAAAGACGTTTACAACTCCCTGTAATGCCCAATTAGAGCGCAGCTCTTGAGGATGAGGAGGGGAGTGTATGGAGGGGACGGTATGCCCCTCCTTCTCATCCGTACCCTCTCCTCCTCCCTCCTCATCTAGTCCTCCCGTGCTCCTCGCCCCCTTCTCCTCCTCCCTCCTTCTCCTTTCTTTTCCTCCCCCTCCATCCTCCTTACTACTCCTCCCTCCCTCGCATTCTCCCCCTCCTCCCTCCCGCGCGGTGCATTATGGAGAACGTCGCATAATGCAACGCGCGCGTCACCGCGGTGTATTATGGGACGTTTCCTATAATGCACCGTGCAATTACGGCGGCGGCGACGTCCACGCGTTACGGTTACGGCGATGCCGACGCGTCACGCCAACGCAGTACACCGACGCGTTACAGTTACGCCGACGGCGACGCTGACGCCGCTCAAGCCGGAAACGGGTGCCTAAAGGGCCACCCACACTAGCGAGAAAACGCGCCCGGCGCGCCGATAAATCGGTTAAGCGGGAAGATAAAGGGCGTGTCTCTGCACGCGCACGTGGCGCTGACTGTGCTTCGGCGACATTTTGTTACTTGCCGCGATCGGCGTGCCACGCGCGTTTTCTCGCTAGTGTGGACGTGGCGTAAGAGTTGCGCTCTAAAACTTATATTTCGTACTAGACCAGCGATGTCTTGAAATAAAGAATTGTTCAGTTTAATGCTCGCTGTGTATCTTAAAATTACTGTTTAGTCATTCAGGTTGGTAATTGGAATGATATGCAGAGTCTTAAAAAGTGGCTGTGCATGATAATCGTATGGGGCATTGACGATAGTCCGTGTGGTCTTTACTCTATATAACGGACGCTGCCATGTAAATATGAGGCAAACAACCGCGTCGCACTGCATTTTTTTGGCGATGCGGTTGAGGCGTCAGCCAAAAACGTCCCCTCAGTTTGCTCGGGCATTGAGACGATCCTTTTCCTATGTCCTGCTTTCTTCTAAGTTTCCTATTTCTTACCGCAGCCTCGGGTAATTTTCGTCACTATCAGGAAACTCAGTTAATGGATGTCGCCATGTGACTTTGGGGCAAATGACCGCGTTGCCAAGGCTTTGCCATGGCAACATTGTCTTTGGCCCTATATTTACGTAGCGGCGTCCGCTGAATCGGTGTCGAACAGGTGGGAATTTGAGCCCCGCACCTGATTGAGAAAGTCGAAATGGGGCCTGCGCTCTCGACACCGCGGCGGGAGCGTCGTCTAGAGCAGTGATTCTCAAATGACGGTCCGCGAACCCTTCGGGGTCCGCGAATCCTTTCTAGGGATCCGCGAAGCTGTCTCATCATTCAGGCCCAGCAAGAGAAGTTGTGTTTTTTTTTCAAACTGAGAGGAAACGTTCCTTAGTTATATATCCATTTATTTAATCATTATTATATTTAGTCCATACCTTTCCCTTCCCCTCACAACGAACAGTGTCCTCCATCATCTTTTTCGATCCACAAGGGGTTCGCGAAACATCAATGGTTGAGAACCCCTCGTCTAGAGCGAGTCGTCATAACGCGCGCGGCAATGAAAACCGAGCGTATCAGGTCTCGTATGCACGAACAATAAGAATGGCATCGGGTTTAGAAGGGCCGTGCAAGCCCCGCTTTCAGCACGTGTTCGTTTCCCTTCGTCGGGGTGAAAATGCGCCTATGCATCGAACCTTCTTTTGGTGCGCCGACTGTGTCGAAAGCCAGCCGCGACAGAGCACAGGTGTACCAGACCACAGATGTACCAGACCACATGCACAGCGCAGGCGTAGCCTAAGCCTAACGTAGCCCACAGAGCCGCGAGCAGACGATGGAATCGAAGACGAAAGCGCGTCGGTGGCGTCCTTGCGCAGTGCAATCTGGGATTGAGTTCTTTTTGCGGCGTCGCTTGCATGACATCCTGCCGGGTCCTCGGGTATTTAAAAGTTCTTGATTCCTAGGAAGCAAATAACGGCGCAACTCTGAAATGAGGGGCCATTGATAGTAAATGCCAGAGGAGCACTCGCGCGTGACACGTGTTTTGCGCGTTTCGAACAGCAATACAGACGGCCCTTATAATAAACCCGAAACGTGAAATTTATCAGGGGGCTTCAGCGTCAACTGGCTTCGTACCGTGTACCGTGATCAAACTGCGGTCGGCTTGCTAAAGCTGGTTTCTATGCCCGGTACGACACTGACGTCCGGTGGTTCGTACCGCAATTAAAGCATCGTAGCGGGCGTACTCTAAAGATCGGCTCAAACTTTCCAGTACCCCCTAACTTGTATCATTCGTTACATTTGGACACACATATCGAAAGCTGTATATTAAACTAATTAAGGAGCGTCATAGAATATCTTCGAATGGCATCTTAGGTAACTTGTGTTTACAGGCACACAAATGACTTCAATACGAATCATAACATAATAATTATCCTTATTCCTGTTCCATATCAGCGACATGACTTGTTTTTCTTTTTGCGAAGAACATTTATTTAAATTAAAAATCGTGTAAATATAATCAATGCTGCTATATTTTGTATCACTTTAGATACCGAAGGTGACCAGATGAAAGGAATGCACCATAAGTATATTGTATTTTTCTACTATTGCTTTATTATGGCACATTTTTAAAAGACGGCAATGACAGCAGGAAATGAGTAATTTCGCAGCGCTCATTAGTTGCTGTGCTGTTGTGATAGAACTTTTCGAGGTCACTATAAAACCCATACTGACGCAGCTTTTCCCAGAAAAAAAAATAAAAAGAAGTTTAACAGGGTAGAACGGCGAGGCTGTACGAAAACGGTGCGAGTTAGCTCGCAACCCTTTCACATTTCGACGCTTGACGCTATGTCGCTCAACATCGAGTACGCCGTTTTCGGAGTCCTGATGGCAGTCAATGTTGCGATGGGCCTCTACTTCACCTGTAGGAAAGCCCGCGCCCGAACCACCGAAGAAATGTTCCTGGCCAGTCGCACGCTCATGGTGCTTCCTCTGGCCGTCTCCGTGGTGGCGACTGTTACGTCACCGACGGGTATCGTCGCTTTCGCCGGACACTACTATGCCTACGGACTTCACCTGAACTGGGTCAACCTCGGGTTGGTCGCCGTCCTTCCAATCACGACGCACCTGATCATCCCCGTACTGTACAAGTTGAGGGTCACGTCCATCTTCGAGGTATGGATTATCAACGATAATTCAGAGAGAACGAAGCGGGCGACGCCATTTTGTATCTTAGATTAGCGCGATGGCGATTGGCGATAGCTACGAATCGAAAATGCTACTTCCTCGACTTCAGAGACGATGTTGGAAAGCTTGGGAGATGTCTTACTCGGTCGTGAACTGCATTCACGTTTATAAGGACAAAAAAACCGTTTCCAGCGATATAAGATAGTGATTTAGTTAACTGGCAACAATAGCTTTAAGCAACAAGGTGGCTGAATGTCGTTACTTTGAAGCCTAAATATTTTTAGTGGGTCTACTGAACAAGTTTGATTGAACGGAAATCAATTTTAGTTTTATGACGCTTACCGACTTTATTGGTAAGTTGATCATTGAGAAAAACACCACCAAAACTCGGCATTTTCTGACACTCGATTCCCAAAATGCTCCTTGAACGCCAAAGGCTTCAATTTTGAACTCTCTTTACTTATGAGCTACTTATCGTAGCTTGCAGACTTTTCTCAGCATGTTGACACTCTCAAGCAACAGCGTCACGGATGCCATCGTAGATTAGGCATTAGTGCTACCACCAGGGCGGCGTTACTCGTCCGCTTGCGAGTAAAATGTTTCGCCCACTCCGCCGGGATTCCTCCTTTAGCTCTATACACTTTACGGCGACCGTAGACCAAGGTCCGGCACGTCGGTATACCAAAAATCTATAACAGCGACAAACAACCATGCGCATTTAAGAAAAAGCGAAGACTTCACCTTCCGTCTGGGACATCCAGACAGAAAAACAACGCAACTCATATACAGGCGCCATCTTTTAGGTCGGCAAGTCAGGCCCAACCAAACACGTCATTCCAAGGAGTCGGCAACTGGCCGGTTTCGGTTTCTCCGGAAACAGTATTCGGAACCTCAGTTAACTCGCCCGAAGACAGAATCTGACGCGAGAAGGGATATCCGCAGAGGCGAATTCTGATGACAACCGGAACGCTACGGGGACGCACTTAGTTTGAGCGGATATTTTGTCCTGACTGACTGATTGGCGCCATGAGCTCAAGGCCATCTGCGGGTCTTGAGGACCTAAAGCTCGTGCGTCGGGTTAGCGGGAAGTCGAATGCCAGGCCCAAGCTCAATTGAACCCAATGGGGTATTTCCCCCGGCCTACACATTCAGTATTTGAGATCCTGCATGTGACGTCATGTTCGTGTAGGGGACGGAGCTCGCGGACACTTCCAGTCGCGTCGCGCCATGCTAAAAGCCATACGTACGCTGCGTGGTGACGAGAACCCGATGCTGTTTCGTCTAGATCAGGGGTTCTCAACCACTGATGTTTCGCGGACCCCTTGTGGACCAGCGGAGATGATGGAGGACCCCTTTCGTGTTGAGGAGATAGGGAATGTAAAAGTTAAATATTGTAATGACATTATAAATGGATTTAGCTAAGGGCTAGTGTGAGGTAGGCTTCTCTTATTGATATACAGGCGAGAAAACTAACACGTAAATGGAAAAATTCCTTCTCGGTCTGAAGAAAGGACTTCTATTGCCGGGCTTGACTGATGAGGCAGGGCTTCGCGGACCCGCAGAATGCCTTCGCGGACCCCTTTGGGTCCGCGGACCCCCATTTGAGAACCACTGGTCTAGATTAAACCGTGACAGGTCGTCAACTGAAGCCGAAAATGCAGAACAACTGTGCAGAAGAATGGAACGCGCAGCTACACACCTTCAATTTAACCAAGCTTGCCAGGCCAAACCTGCCTACAATCGTTACTCTTTTCTTTTCAGTGGACCCTGGGTAGGAACAGCTGCCCTGCATTTTGGGAGTAAAGGACCTTTGTCTCTCGTCGTTTTACATGTCCCTTTCGGGATGTTTGGCAAAAGTAGTGTTGTGGAAGCCGGTGATGACCTTGGGGGAGAGCAGTGGACGAAGTATTTCCGTAAACTAATACTCAGCCTCGTCCTGACTAACCCGCCCCCCCCCCTCCCCCACCCAACCAAAAGAAGAAAAAAAAAAGAAAGCGCAGCCAATTCGAATTATGTGTCAGGTATTCCCACCGCAGTTAGGTGAAAGATGTCAACATTACAGAACTTTGGTTATTTGGCTGCTGCAACGTAGCTCCGATTTCAGGTTCGGCGCAAATATTTTGTTACATCCTGGTATCTCAAGGGATTCGGAGAGGTAAAATAGAAAGAAGGCACTCGCCCGATCCTCATAGCAGCTGTTAAACCAGCCGTTATCAACGTGAGGGCAGTAACCGTTGTGTGGCACACCTATACCCGTGGGTCACAGGCTGACTGTAACGAACAACTTGCGATCACTCGCTGCTGCCGCTATAAAGTTGTTCGTGATTCATCAGTCTGTAGTGCTCTGTTGATGTACCTCAGTAAAAATAGCGTACCTTAGCTTGGTTAGTTCAATATCACTGGCGTTCACCAACAGTGCAACCCTCAACCGCTGCCTTTTATTGCGTCAGCAGAAAATAGAATCCTGACTGCAGTTCTGAGTTCGAAAAGCCTTCGTTGGTTTTTGTGAAACGCCATGCAAACGTAAATTTTTGCTTTCTCTGGGGTTGTAAACACTAAGAGCCGAAGCAGTTTTCCTTACGTGATACCAGCCGTATGTGATAGAATTTTGTTCACGTCATCGAAGTGAGCTGCATTGCTTTTACTTTTTATTAGTAACAATAAAAAACCTTTTCCACAGACTACACTGCCGCCGCACCCGCTTCTTTGGGTTTTCGGCGCTGCATTATTAATCTAATGCGCACCCATTAGTTACTTTTCAAGTATCACTTACGCGTAAACATCACAGACAGTTATTTGAGTTACAAATATTAATTTCAAACATCTGCAACAATGTACGACCTCTAGGGTCTTCATTTTCAAGGCTACAACACGCTATCAATTCTCTGTGGATTAGTCGTCCGTCAAAAAACAAATTGCGCAGTTCGTGCGTCATACTTGGTTAGCACGTTCTCTTATTTTTTCTTTTTTTCTTTTTTTAATTTTGACTTTAGTACGAACTACTGTAAACGACTTAATTTTCGGGGATTTCGCAAATCGCCTACAATTCGCGTAAAAAAGGTCCCTCGAACAATTCCGGTAAAATGTAAACATATTGGAATCTATATTGAGATCCCACCGCGTCGCGAAAATTAGAACCCGCGAATTATTCTAAAACTTCAGCTTTGACCTAAGTGGCGAAATATTGAGCCCGCGAAATATAAGTAGTTTGCAGTATACCTTCCAAAAAACTACTGCAACCGCATTAACTTTTTGCCGAAGACGGCAGAACGAACATAATGTTTCAAGGGTTCTATTCCGTTTTCGTTTTTATTTGCGCGGCAAGTGACAGCAGGATTCTGCCCGGTTAGTCTCCCTATCGAGTACAACGTTGTATGTTAACTTTCTCATCTACATCCGCACTTTTTGATTTGTTATTTATTCATTTGTTACTGCAGCTCTCAGTTATAGTCCTTACCAGCAGAAGGCCCCAACAAAATGGAAGATTTCGGGCGGGCTTGGGGGGACGGGGAGGGGTGGAGGGGGGGGGGGGGGTTTAATGGGCCTCGCCTTTGGATACCTGATGGTTAGCAAGACTGTAAGTTTTCATTGGGGAAACACAATGAATAAACACCCAAAAAGCGACCCAAGCCTATATCTGCTGAAGTGTTACCAAAACTGGGTGAGTAATGAAGTCGTGACAATGTCATTTGACAGTGAATTCCTATCTTGAATAGCCGGAGGGAAAGTGAATATTTGAAAACATTGCGTTTAAATCTGCACTGCTGGGTTGATATGGTATGGTTGATCCTTGCCGATCCGGCAGATGAAAAAGTGATATATGATTCCATGTGAATATTAAACTTGATGTGGGGATACAGAAATGCGCATATTTTGCTCAATTAATTATAGCACCGATTTTCAACGTTTTCATATTGACGTCTGTAAGCAAGGGCGTCCAGGAAGTCCGGTTTCTAAAAGCGTTGATGGTAAACCCTAAGAGCTAGCTTTTCGACGCCTTCAAGTCTGTTGAACCAAACTGCCGCGTGGGGAAACCAAACATAGGTAGCATATTCCAGTGTTGGTCTGATCATTGGTTTATATGCTATAGGATTTGTCTCGGCATCTGACAAATTTAAGTGTACGCCTAAGCGTAAAAATTTTACTTATAGCCTTGTTCACAATTTGATCGACTTGTTGATATTGCAGAAATGACGCAATTTTCAACTGTGTATTGCGCGCCAGTCGAATGTTGTCTCCTGCCCAGTCTACCAAGCAGACGACGCGCGGGGGGGGGGGGGGGGGGGGAGGGGGAGGGGGAGGGGGAGGGGAGGAGGAGGGAGGGAGGAGAGAGGGCATTTTCCTTTCCGCTTTTTCTACTGGAACGGTCTTGGGCTTGTACATAACTTTATGACAAGCAATCAAGTTACCTGTGATCAACTAGTTTTGGAAGTCAGTTTGTAATTTCATTACATTGATTAACAGTAATCACAAGATCAATTTGTTTATCTTTACAACTAATGAAATTACTTGTAGCGATTACAATTTCTCCAAATCCGTCCCGATTTTGAGTCACAACATCCATCGAGTAAAAACATCCGATCATGGATGTTCTGTCTCGATGGATTTATTGACGCGTTGGACGTTTCGACTCTATTGATCTTTAGAACCCGATGATGTTTTGATTCGATGGACGTTTTGACTCCGATGTGTGTTTTGACTCGGATGGCTGTTTTAACTCGGATGAATGTTCTGACTGCTATCATATGTCCTAAGAATGTTTTAAATCGCTGAAAGTTTTATCTCTTTCCTAAAATGCCGGCCGTTTTGTTTAATCGATTTTCAAGAGCATAGCAAGCAATTACTCACAAATGAGTTCACTGGTAGACCTAAATCAACTATGAAGAAGCAATAATTATTTTATGAAAGGTTGTAGGGTATCAAACAATACAAGTTATGTTCTTCATCGCTCCATCACTGACCAGTAAACCTGCTAGTGACGATGCCCA